GAGCCAGAGATAATATATTGGCAAGGACCAACCTGCAAATGACCTGCTTCATCCCAGAAGACTCCCACCTCCTAAAGTTTCCTCCAAAAATAGTGCCACCAGTTGGGGACCAAGTCCCTGATATGTGAACTTTTGGGGGGACACTTCATATCCAAACCATAGCATTCTACCTCTGGCCCCTAAAAGGCTCATGTCCATCTCATAATGAAAACTGCATTCAGTTGATCTCAATGAATTCTCATGTTCTTAACTGTTCCAACTTTGTTCAAAAGTCCAACTTCAAAGTCCCTTTTGAGTCTCAATGCAACCTCTTAGCTGTTTCTATAAAACCTAAAAAAAGTTAACAAACTCCTAGAATACAATGGCACAGAGTAAACATTCCCATTCTAAAAGAGAAGAATGTGAAGATAGCAAGGAAAGATCAGATCAAAGTAAGACCAAAACCTAACAGGACGTACCTTAAATCCTGTAGATCCATGACCAACATCTGGAGCATGTGATGTCATGAGTAGGCTTGGGCAGCCCCGCCCTTGTGGTCTGTACATTTGCAATACACATGGCCTCTCTTTTGGGCTGGTTCCACTCATTTCCTGTGTCTTCCTCAGCAGACATTCCACTTTCCTGACATTTCCAATGCCCTGGGATCTCCATTGCAATTTACAGCTTCACACATTGCCCTCTCAGGGGCTGCCTACAAGGATGCTAACCATGCCTCATATTGCCTGGCTTCCTAGGCCTTCTCTTCTTGAAATCTCATTTGAAAGCCTCTTACCCTGTAACTCTTGCTTTCTACATGGCTACAAAACCAATGTAGTGCGGATGAATGCCAAGGTCGGCTACAACTCAAGCAGTAGCAGGGCTGGACCGTGGTTGCAGTGAACCATGGCTTAATACAGTGAAATGAATCATGGAGCAACTTCCTAGGTGGCCTGTGCAGCAGGGCACCCTTGAGCTTATGATGAATGTGATCTACCCAATTCCTGACATGGCCTCTAGGCATTTTTCCTATTGTCCTGATGAAATGTCCTTGACTTCTCTTTCTATATTCATGACTTTTATCATCATTATGACCAAATACCTGAGGAAACAACTAAAGGGAGGAAGGCTTTCTTTTGTCTTACTATTTTAGAAGGATGGGTCCACAATTGTTTGGTCCCATGCACTTAAGTAGAACATCTTGGTGATGGGAGTGTATGGAAGAAGATGCTTTTCACCTCATGACAGAGAGAAAGCAGAGAACATGACAGGAAGGGGCCAGGGATAATATATATCTAGGGACCAAAACCCTAACACATGAGTACATTTCATATCAAAACCATAACTCTGCTTGTGTATTCTCTTTATTTTAATAGTTCTTCATGGGCTGGGGATATAGTTCGGTGGTACAAATGCCTAGCATTTGCAAAGCACCACCAAAACAAAACAAATATAGTCCTTCATAACTTTGGACTCTAGAGAGGAAGAATAAATTTTTCTTCAACCTCCGTAAGTTCTTAATGAGAATAGATCCCAGTAACTAGAGACAGATTAACAACAAGTTTTTAAGTGTATATTTCACTTATACATGGAGACACCCAGGTAAGGAGTAGTAGTTTTGAATTCCAGCTTATACAGCATCCTTAAAAATCAAAGAGCAGTAAATTTCTGGAGAATGGAGAGGACAAAGGAAAAAAAGCTTTATGTCTATAGGGGCAGCAACTTGTGGGAAGGTAGATAACTGGTAAGTTAAAGCCTATTAATGTAATTCCTTTGCTACTATCTCTAGGATGATGAGTTCCTAAAATTGCATTCAGTAGTTAACTTTTGTTAAGCAAGCAAGCCTTTGGTCTTTGTAAACCCGTGTCCTGCTTTTAGGTAAATAGAGAGAGGCAGAGAGTTTTCTGCCATCTGCTTCTTAATTGCCTGCACCTTAATAATCCCTCATATTTGTGGATGGCATTTTCTAACTGGATTACTTGTTGAGTTTTAGGAGTTTTTTGTGTATTCCTGATCATTTGATATGATTTTATCATATATGTGGCTTACAGATACTTCCCCCTGGTGTGTAGTTTGTGTTTTCATCTTGTAGGAAATTTCACAGAACAAAAGTTTTTGATTCTAATTAAGTCAAATAGTTCATAAGACCCTGTCTCAAAAATACCCAACACAAAACAGGGCTGGAGGAATGGCTCAAATGGTAGAATACCTGCCTAGCAAGCATGGGGCTCTGAGTTCAAACCCCAGTACTGCCTAAATAGATAAATAAATAAAAAAATAAGCTTTAGGTATTCTGAAGGCCTATGCCTTCTCTATGTAAGTTTTAGAATAAATCTTTTGGTATTTATAAAAATCTGAGAGTTGCGTCAAAATACTGATTTAAAGGATAAGATACTTGACTGGCTTATTTGGCTGTTTTTGTTATTAATAAGTACCTTCTTTTCCCTTATAAGTATACTTAATCCATTCAGTCCCTCATTCATGCAGCCATTATTAATGATTACTCTATATCTTATTGAATCTTGTTGAATTGCAAACTCTGTTCTGAGGGAGTTGCTATAATATAGATTCCTCATATAAAATGTGAGAACCATTTGGTATATAAGCAGTTTGAGGTTTCTTAGCTGGGTATTAACACTGGTGTCTTCTACTCCAATCGCCTGCCACTTGGAGCATTGTAGCCTTTTCCCTTGGCTTTTCTGTAATTTCCCATTCCAACAGGGAAAATCTGGCTACCACGTTCCACCTTCCATTTACTTAATTGTTCATTTCTGGCATTCATGTATAAATCATTTCAGAGTTGTTAACCCATGGACTTTTGGTTCCTTCCAATATATGTATATATAAATTTTCTTTGCAGTGCAGTGGATTGAACCCAGAGCTTTGTGCTTGATAGGCAAGTGCTCGAGCTTCATTCCCCACCTTTATTTGTTGATTATATAAATTAAGCTGCTAGAATCATCCCTGTACCGATTTTTGCATAGAGATAAGTTTTCAATTTAATTGAGTAAATACTGAGAATGTGAAATTGGTGGATTGTGTTCTAAGACTATTTAGCTTCGTACAAAACTGCTGAGCTGTCTTCCAGAAGTGGCATGTCATTTTGCATACTTGCCAAGTGTGAATCAAAATTCCCCTTGGTCTGCATAAGAACCTTAAATTGATACATTCATTATTTTGGATTCAACCATTCTAATAAATGTGTCGTGTTGTCTTATTTTTATTTCCCTAATGACAAGTGATATGGAGCAACTGTTAATATTTTTGTTTACTGTCCATTTGCTTTTGGTGACAAGTCTGTTCGCATCTTTTGCCCAGTTTTCAAGTATGTTGTTTTCTTATTATTGACTTTTAAGAGAACTTTGTATGTTTTGGATAAAACTCCATTATTAGATATGTGTTTTGTAAGTATTTTGTAAATATTTTCTCCCAGTGTGTGTTTGTTTGTGTGTATTTGTTTTGACAGTACTGCAGTTTGAATTCAGGGCCTTAAGACTTGATAGGCAGGTGCACTATCCCTTGTGCCACTCCACCAGATCCATTAGTGTTTTCAGTTTTGTAGGAATGTTCTTTTGTAAAGCAAATTCCTTTTTATGTATTCCACAAATTTTGGTAAGTGGTATTTTGATTTTTATTTCATTTAAAATATTTTCAGTTTTTTTCTTTTGAGGCTTTCCTATTGACCATTAGAGGGTTTGTGTGTGTGTGTTACTGAGGTTTGAATGTAGGACTTCTTGCTTGCTAGGCAGGCATTCATTTTTTCTCTGGTTATTTTGGAAATAGGGTCTCACTTTTTGCCCACCAGCCAGGACCACAGTCCTCCTATTTTATGCTTTCCATGTCACTGGGATGACAGGCATGAACCACTGTACCCAGCTTTTTTCTATTGAGATGGGGTCTTGTATATCTTTTTGCCCTGGAACTACAATCCTTCCTTTCTCAGCCTCTAAATAGCTAGGATTACAGGCATAATCCACCAACACTTTGCATCCTACAGAGAATTTATAAATGAGTTGTTTAGCCTTCAGGTATTTTGGGAGTTTTCTAGTTATCTTACTTATTTCTATTTATTTCCATTGTGGTCTGAGAGCATATTTTATATGATAGCTATTGCTTTAGGTTTGTTAAGATGTTTTAGGCCCAGAAAATGGTCTCTGTTGGTGAATATTCTATTCACATTATCCAGGTGAGCTAGACAGAATGATAGTAAATGTATTTTATTATTTTGAATGGTATATTCAATAAATGTCAGATATGCAATTCAAATTACCTATATACTTACTGTTTTTCTGCTTCTTTGATCTGCCAGCAGGGTGCTGAAGTGTTCAGCTATGATGTAAATTGGTCAGTTTCTTCTTTCAGTTTTTGCCTTATGTATTTTGATAGTTTTTTGACAGTTTTGCTAGATGTATACTGTTTCAGATTGTGTCATCGTTCTCTAACATGATTTTGAATACCTCTAATGAACTCTTAATTTTGAATATTTGATTTTATTTTGCAGCTCTAGTTTGGCCATTGTGTGTGTACAGGTAGGAGAGGTCCTAAGATCATCCCAGGTTCAGTGAATTGCTCGGATGACACAGCATATATGACTATGATATTTACAGTGAAAGGATATGAAGCAAAGTCAACCAGATTCTAATAGTTTTATTTCCTGCTGAAAGTTAACTTGATACTATAAAAGATTATAGAAAAGAACTAACCATTCTGTAACTCTACAGCCAGCTCCTAACATTGTCCATTTAATAAATGTTCATAGGCATGTGTCCTTATTATGTCATAAGCACTTTGAGAGGCAGAACTATGTGTTTTGTTTGTTGTCATAGCAACCAGGACATTTCTAAACCATTAGTGGAAATTCAATTTGTACAAGATATTTTTATTACTCTACATATTAAGTACAAAAGGAGGTATCCTGTTTGCCATTTTCCAGTAAACTTTAGAAAGACTTGTTCTGCTAACTCTTTTCTACGTCATCATCTACTTCTGGCACCTTCATATAGAAAAAGAATATTATGTTACAGGAACAAGTGTCATTCAAGGATGTGTGTGTGGACTTCACCAAGGAAGAATGGTGTCTGTTGGACCCTACTCAGAAGATACTGTATAGAGATGTAATTCTGGAAAATTACAGCAACCTTACTTCAGTAGGTAAGGATTTTTTTCTGAAAGGGAATGCCCTGTAGTTTTCTGATTTGAAGCTTGAAATTCAAGACTTATCCCTTTGGTTGATTTGGGACCTTCAGCTCCTAAAGTTGAACCTTTCTTTACCTTCATTTTTTTCAGCCAACACAGCTAAGCTATTTAGTCCCCATCCTGTGTTATTTTGTCTTAACAGGGTATTGTGTTACTAAGCCAGATGTGATCTTCAAGATAGAACAAGGAGAAGAGCCTTGGATACTAGAGAAAGGATTTCCAAGTCAGTGCCACCCAGGTGAGTGTAATGAGTCCACAGGCAGGTGAAAGCCAGAGGAAAGTAATCTTAGGTCATTGGTTTAGGGTTTGTCACCTGGGGACTATTTTTCAGAAACTTGGCTTTAGCCCCAGACCTTTGGAAATGACCAAGGACAATTGGCCCACATCCTAATGCCTTAGTCACTATCACATGTGTCGCTCTCATATGTGACATATGAGGGTGATTTGACACTTTACAGTGATTTACTTTTAACCATGATCCAAAGTCAGTTGGCTTCATTTTAGAGATTTTTTTCTTTTTTTTTTTTTTTTCATTTTTCTTTTATTATTCATATGTGCATACAAGGCTTGGTTCATTTTTCCCCCCTGCCCCCACCCCCTCCTTTACCACCCACTCCACCCCCTCCCGCTCCCCCCCCCCAATACCCAGCAGAAACTATTTTGCCCTTATCTCTAATTTTGTTGTAGAGAGAGTATAAGCAATAATAGGAAGGAACAAGGGGTTTTGCTGGTTGAGATAAGGATAGCTATACAGGGCATTGACTCACATTGATTTCCTGTGCGTGGGTGTTACCTTCTAGGTTAATTCTTTTTGCTCTAACCTTTTCTCTAGTTCCTGGTCCCCTTTTCCTATTGGCCTCAGTTGCTTTAAGGTATCTGCTTTAGTTTTAGAGATTTTTTTTCTTAGTTTCTCTTTATCTCTTAAAATTTTTCACCTTCTCTCTCTGTTTTTTTTTTTTTTGGACACCTTTTGTTAGCTGGCATATATTCATGTACTTCTTCCATTTATTCCATATAACAAATATACAATGATGAAAATTCACTGGGACCCAGTTATGTTCTAGGTAACTAGCAGAATAATGTCTTGGGTATCATAGAACATGTCTTATCATGATGGGCAAAACTATGACATAGATGTTTTTGCATGTATATATGTATTTGTACACATATATGTGCAGATATCCACACACTATGATGGGTAGTGATAACTATGATGAAGATAGTTCTCACAGGAGAAAGGAGACTAGAGCATGACAATATGTTCTATTTGACCTTTTGATGAGGTCTGTGTTACACATGAGGCTTTAATAAAGTAAGCGTGTGAGCTATGTGGATTGAAAGTATCCTTAGCAGGGAGAACATTGGGTGCCAGGTTTCTTGGACAGATATGTTCTTGGACTATTTGAACAATGATACAGACACCAGTGTAGCTGGAAGCTATTGGGAGAGGCCAGTAGGAGTAATCTTGTAAGTAGTGGCAGCATGGGCTATAGAAGTTCTTTTATTTTAAGGGATGTGAGAAACCCTCAGTCATGAGTAAGTGTAGATCAGATTAAGTTACCAGATCTGGCTTATGGCTTAAAAGTGCAGTGACTGTATTGTAGTGGGTGGATTGAGCATGAACAAGGCAGAGGTACCAGTTAGGAGACTACTGTGTACTCCAGAGGAGACAGGGTCCTGGCTAACACAATGCTGGAGGTATTGAGAAGTGGTAGCTTTATATAAACATCTTGAAGATGAGAACACAAGGACTACTGTTGATAAGAATGTGAGAGAAAAAGAGGAGTCAAACATACCCAACAATTTATCTCACGCAACAAGATGGAAGCTGTTTACTGAGATAGAGAAAATTATGGAGGATACTGGAAAAGGCAGGGAGTTAAAACAGATTAAGTTTGGACAGGAGAAGTTGGAGAGAGCTGTTCAAATCTGGGCTATATATTGACTGTGATGTTAGATATGTCTAAAAATGAAGTGCCTGTTGAGTCTGGACCTAGATGTATCCATTTGAAAGGCATCAACTTTAGGTAGTGTTGAGGTGTAAGGCTAGATGAAATCTAGAAAAGAGGGTGACAGGCTTTTTTGCAAAAGACCAGCTAGTAAATGTTTTAGGTACAGTGGGCCACATGTGGTCCTGGTTGCTGCTGCTGTTTCTCCTCTGCCCCTTTCTACCTATTTCTTTTTTTCTTTCTCTTCCTCCTGTCTCCTTCCTCTTTCCACCTCCCTATTTCCTCTTCTACCTTTTTCCTTTTAAAAATATAAAAGGCATTCTTAGCTTCAGGGCCACTGCCTTATTTTTATAGGTTTCCACCCCTTTTCTAGAACATGCTTGTAGGTAGATTAGAGTAGTCCTGGGACAGTACCACCTTTTGAAGGCATTAAATCCATCCATTAGAAAAGACTGATAGGAAACAATCTGAGCTACATTCTACCATCCTGCTTCTATGTTAATTGGCAATAATGAGGTCCCTATACTAAACCTGTCACCTCTTCATGGTCTTATCATACTCTTGTTATTTTTCTTTCAAAACAACCTATACCTCTTCATATTCTCAATTTTCACTGATAACATTCAATATCAGACCTATGTCTTTATTCTGTCATTCCTGACCCAGTCTAATTTCTAATTGGTTCTTTAAAAACAAAACAACCTAGCAGGGCGCCAGTGCCTATAATCCTAGCTACTCAGTAGGCAGAGATCAGGAGATTCATGGTTTGAATCCAACCCAGGCAAATAGTTGGTAAGACCCTATCTCAAAAAACCCTTCAAAAAAAACGGACTGGTGTAGGCCCTGAGTTCAAACCCCAGCACCGCAAAAAAAAAAAAAAAAAAATCGAAAGCATCCAATGTAATCTTTCATTAGCCTGATAAATGAAAAGTCTTCTGTAATTGACTATTATAATGTGGTTCTATTCTACCTCTCTTACATTTCTTTCTGCTCTCTGGAATTTATACTAAACCTCTTAGTATCCTATATTTTAAAGTATGTTTATAAATATTCTCATTTGTCAAAAACTTCCAGTTATTTACTTTGTCTTTTTTCAGATAATTAATACTGTACAAGCAAAGTGTTCAGACATTACATAGCACATGGTAATGGCTTATTGCCATTATTTCACTTATTTTAAGTTAGAGCAATTTTTTGCTGCTAATAGTCTATATCTTAAGACTGTAACCTGTGTTTTATGGCTATAGGCCCCAAACTCAGACCTCATCATGTGGCTATTCTTTAGGCATTCTTTCCCTACTGAAATTTTGCTCCCCCAAATGAATGGTCTCTATCTCTTTTTCTAATTCTGTTTTGATAATAAGTGTTGATTACCTATGGAGCTAGGTTTAGGAGAAATCATTCCTTTTCATCCATTCAGAAAGTGTTCTGTAGTATTCTTCCTAAATGCATATTCTCATATTTTGTCCTGTGTATTACAACTCATTAGGTAAAGGTGGGAAAGAGCCATTACCCTGCTTTTTCCTCAGAGGAGGCAGAAGAAACCGGTCTAGTAATACCTGCCAAGAGCCTCTGGTCACAACAGAGATTTAGCATTAAGCAATGTATGTACTTGGTGTTACAGTAAGTTATATGTGCAGTAATATCTTCTAAAGGACAGAGAAAATGGAGTATTAAAAATAGCACAGATATTATAGAGATTTTTGGCTTTCATTCTTTTATTATCTTTTTTGTGGAACTGGGATTTTGAACTCAGGGCTTCATGTTTGCAAGGCAGGCGCTTGACTGCTTGAGCCACACCTATAGTCCATTTTGTTCTGGTTATTTTAGAGATAGAGTCTTTCGAACTTTTTTGCCCAGGCTGGCTTTGAATTTCTATTGTCCCAATGTCAGCCTCCCAAATAACTAGGATTACATGCATTAGTCACCACATCCAGCTATCATTTTTTAATTGAAGTAGCATTTCATTGAAGGACATCTAGGTTCCAAGGAGAACCAAAGCCAGAATGCTTCTAGTTGGATAAAAGGCATATTGTTGGGAATGAGCAATTTGTAAGAGTCTGATACCTAGCTAGTGCTACACAGAGATATTTTTAATGGGCCTGCAAAATGTTAGTTTGAACATTTAATGTAAACAAACTGATACAGGTTTTGTTTCTTTAAATTGTTTGCTAGGATAATAACTTTTATCTCTTGGTCTTTGGGCAGTGGACTCAGGGCTGTCATAGATTTTTTTTTTAACATGTGATTACATTGGGTAGCAACAGTGAGGCATAGAGAAAAATTTTTATGATAAAGTATACTGAAGATCTCAGTACAACATATAGAAATACAATTCTTATGGGTCCCTCATGTAAATAAAAGTCACAGATGAGGCAAGATGTTAAAGCATAAAACCTAGTTGTAAATGAAAAACCTAGAAATAAAGGCAGACTTAAACATCTATTTATAGTAAGAGACATGCATATTAGTGAGGGTCCCACTACAGTAACCAAGCTATGAGAAGATGAGGGTATAAACCTTGTTTTGCCTCTACCAAACCTAATTCTTCCTTTATATGTCTAAACTTCTCTATTTAAAAAATAATTCATCTCATTTTCTAAAAATTTCCTATTCTTTGAATGAACAACTCTCAGATTCTCCATCCTCTTTTCATCCTGTATTGAATTTATTTTACTTCCTCTAGTATATTTTTCACAGCTTTTTAGAAAATTATTCCTTCTCAATAAAATTAAAGAAAAAACTATAATTTCTGGGTTTTTAGACTATTCTTTTAAACCTGAGAAAGTTGTTATTTGCAGACCTTTAATTTGATGTTGATGTATAGAATAGAAAAGAAGCACAAACTAAGTTGAATCTACCCTCTGTGTAGAGTGCTGTGTGGGTGAGGGAGGGGTCAGTACTGATCTGTAGATCATCCTCTGAAACCCTTGGCCACCTGAACTTCACTGTCACTCTTTCAGCATTCAGCATCTGTAGGTTCACCTTAATGTCTAGAACTTCCTTATTTCTGAATCAGCCACTGTTATTTCCTGTGCTGTGGATTTTATTTTACCTTTTACTGGCCAGTTTCAAAGTTTGTATTTGTAAAGTGTTAAATGTCATTACCAGATAGCTGTATCTTTGTTTTCCACTCAAACCATGAAAGTAAAGGAAATATCTTGGATTCAGTTCATGCCAGGAAACTGAGTCCCCCTCCCCCCAAAAAATTGACTAGAATAGGACATTTGTGTTAAAGTCTAAGTCCATCAGAAATATATTAAGATTCATAAGATATGGTTTTCTCATTTCTAGAAAGGAAATGGAAAGTCGATGGCCTATTAGAGAGCAGCCAGGAAAATCAAGATGAACACTTTTGGCAGCTCATATTCACCAACAACAAAACAGTAAGTGTAGAAAGTGGTGATGGATTTAGGAAAACTGTCAATCTGGACATAGCCCCCATTTCTTCAAGAAATTTTCCCTTCAAAATATGTGACTCATGTGAAATGAGCTTGAAAAATATTTCAGGTTTAATTATTAGTAAAAAAAACTATTCCAGAAAGAAACATGATGACTTTAATGTATGTGAGAAATTACTCCTTGATATTAGGCATGAGAAAATTCCTATTGGAGTAAAATCTTACAAATACAATCAAAAAAAGAATGTTCTCAGTCATCACCGGGATCTCACTCAACTGATTTTTGACCAATCTTTTGAGTATAATAAAAATGGACAAGACTTCCATGAGGAAACAGACTTTCTTACAAGTCAGAGCTATCAGAGAGCAGAGACACTCTGTAAATACACTGAATGTGGAAGAACCTTCATTGACAGCTTAAAGCTGAGTGTATCTGAGAGAACTCATTTGGAAATGGAGCCACATGAATGCAGTATTTGTGGGAAGTTCTTTTATATGGATTTAGAATTTGGGCATCAGAGAGCTCTTTCAGAGGACAATACTTATGAATATAATGAATATGGAGAAATCTTCTATGACAATTCAACTTTCATTATACACAAGGGAGCTTGCACAAGAAAGATTCCCCCAAAATATAAAGTGAGTGACAAAACTTGGGAAAAGTCTACCCTCTTTAAACATCAGAAAGTACACATGAGAGGTAAACCCTATGAGTGCCATGAAAATGGGAATAATTTCGGCAAGAAGCCACATCTCACCCAGTCTCGGAGAAGTCATTCAGGAGAAAAAACCTTTGAATGTGGTGAGTGTGGTAAAACTTTCTGGGAGAAATCAAACCTCACTCAACATCAGAGAACACACACAGGAGAGAGGCCCTATGAATGTACTGAATGTGGGAAAGCCTTTTGCCAGAAACCACACCTTACCAACCATCAGCGAACACATACAGGAGAAAAACCTTATGAATGTAAGCAATGTGGAAAGACATTCTGTGTGAAGTCAAACCTCACTGAACACCAGAGAACACACACAGGGGAGAAACCCTATGAATGTAATGCATGTGGAAAATCTTTCTGCCATAGATCAGCCTTAACTGTCCATCAGAGAACACACACAGGGGAGAAACCCTTTATATGCAACGAATGTGGAAAGTCCTTTTCTGTGAAGTCAAACCTTATTGTGCATCAAAGAACTCACACAGGGGAGAAACCCTATACATGTAATGAATGTGGCAAAACCTTCTATGAAAAATCAGCTCTCACTAAACATCAGAGAACTCACACAGGGGAGAAACCCTATGAGTGTAGTGCTTGTGGAAAGACCTTTAGTCAGAGATCAGCACTCACTAAACATCAGAGAATTCACACAAGGGTGAAAGCTCTTTCAACATCCTGAGAATGTGTAAGAGCCTTCATATACCTGTCAATTTGTTGTAAAATTTTTAAAAATAAGATTTGAGAAAGTAAAAGAATGCCACAAAGCACTAGAAACTACCATCATATTTAAATATGTGAATGCTTTCAAGAAAAATTAAAACTTTTCCTTTGAACATTTGTACTGAGGAGAAATTATTCATTAAATAACATGGTAAAAAAAATCTTTAGAATTTATGTTGCTTAATGATATCTTCAAAATGTGATGCCAACATTGTATTATAAATATAATGGCAATATTTTATCTGTACTCACAGAATCTGAAGCTTAAAAATGGAATTTCAGTAACATTAAGCATATATGTGAAGAACCCCTGATGTTTGTAGACCTTATGGGAGTATGATAATATAACAGAAATTTGGGGTGGGCATAATTTGTATGTTGGAGCCCAACATGGTTGTGAGGAGAAAATATCCCTTAGTTTAGTAACTATTATGGTATATATTAATATTTTCCATACTAAACACCATAGTGTCATTATAGGTTGATAGGATTGTATATTTGTTTGTACATATGTGTGAGTGTGTATTCGTATGTATGTAAATGTAAATATATTTGTATACATGTATCTGTACACATATGGTAATGTCATAGTGTGATCTCATACTGATTTAAAAGTGCTGCTGATTGTTAAGTTTTCAGGAATTTTATGAGTCAGTTGTTAAATGCAGTCATTATTTAAAATTATATAAACTTACAGTTCAATTATATTAAAAGCAAAGCAGAAAATACTCGTCATTTCCTAATAGATGTGCTACATTTCACTATTCTCTTTGTTGTTTGTGTTACTTGCATTATCGGACCTGTCTGGTGAGAGTGCTATACAGTGGTGTGCTGCAGCACATCTCTTCCTGATTCCTTACTTGAAATATTTATACCATCAAATTTACTAACTCTACATATCAGGGGTCTTATTTTCTCAGCACATCTCTATGTACATATGAAAACACATCTGGCAGATTTTCAAGTATGAACTATGTACCCTTTTGTCTGTTTCCTGAAATAAATGGCTATGGCCATATTGCTAAACTGCCTTTTCAATAAAGAAGACAAAATATGTTTTTGTGAGGTTTTTAATTACCTCTGAGTCAGCCTGATCCCAAATATCACCAATCTCTTTATATCTTTGCCAGTATATGTTTTAAGTGAAATATTATTTCATGAAGAACTATATTACCTACTTTTGGCTGTTTCCCAACATATATTAATGAATGTGACCATTTTTACCAAACTACCCCTTCAGTGAAGAAATCAAAACAGTATTGTTCTGAGGTTTCTTAACTTCCTCTGGGTCAGTCATAAATGTTGTTAATAAGAACAGTATTTACATGAACTATGCAAAAGTTAACATCAATTGTAAACTTAAAACTCACTGTACTCTACAAATTAAAAATAGTGGCATGTTATGAGTTCCCCTTTCATAATCTTGGTATGTCATTGTGGTCTATTTAGGCATGATATATGTAACTAGTTCAATATAACCCAGGAACTATGTATTTATATATAGAATTATAGAAAACCACAGAGTGACTCTACCTCCCTTTGTTCTATTGTTTCTGATGCTTCCCGGGAGCATATTGGTAAGCAATTCTAAGAGGTACTGCCACCTACTTTTTTCTGAGCTGAGTTTTATCTCTTTGACCTCTTTCCCTCAGGTGATTTAGGAGATAGATCTAGATTAGTCAAAGCTAATCATGGAAAATCCATTCTAAAAATTTTGTTGAGGTGAACATGTGAGCAATGAAATGTTTGGGGAACACGCTGCAGTACTTCTGGAACTATCTCAGTGACGAACTATATCCTGACTTGAGAAGATATAAGAGACATGAGAAGAGATTGTCCTCTTCTGCTGGACTTTTTCGTGTCTATATGTGATACTGGCTGTAGTTTGTGACCAGGGGCATAACGTGGGAAAATCTGGCCCAACATGAAGTCACTGAGCTTCTCAACTCTGCAACTGTTCTTTTCTGGGACTTTTTATTACCTGTGATAGTAATGTTCTTGCTCTCAGGACTGCCTGATATTTAGAGCTGGAAGAATCCCAGCTGATACAGAGAAACATTTTTCTAAAGTGTTAACATTCTGTACAGTGATTTTAGGGAAATTTTTCTTTTGACAACTTGCTATAAGGATGGATATTTTAATAAGCCATGGTTTTTTCTGGTGTAAAACAGAATTCTCCACCTGAAAAGATTTTAAGGGCAGACTTACTAAATGGTGTAGGCCAGAAACTAAGGATATTGAAACATCTAGAGACTAGAACCTACAGGAAGCCATTCCCATTCTGAATCCTCAAGGGACAGGATGGAAACAGTGTTACCAGATTCCAAAGAAAGCTACTGTCATAGAGGAGATATTTCACTGCTGGAATTGTGGCACCAAATTGCTAGTTCCTTCCTTTGAAGAACCCAGCCAGATGCATCTGCAGATGAGCCCAGTTGGACACAGGAAGGATGTAGGGAGAGTCTGGGCAGAGAAAATGTAGAATATGCAACACAGTGTTTTTCATTTATGTAAATTCCTATGTAAAAGCTCAGTGTTAGAAATAAAGTTATTATACTAGTTTAAGTGTTTCCACTTCGTTGTGCTTTCATATCAGCATAAGGAAACTCCCTTTGGAACCAAGTCCTAAAGTCAGACACATTTGTCCTTTGACATGTATGAAGCATGATTCATTATGATAAATTGCTTTATTCACATACCTCTGTGGTGTTCCTTATACTATGTGGTGTAAGGTAAGGAGCTTTGCATTCTTTCAAATTGACCATAAAGAGTTTAATTAATTCACCTTTTTTTTTCTTTTTTGCGGAACTAAATTTTGAACTCAGTGCCTCTCACTTGCTAGGCAGGTGCTCTTACCACTTGAGCCACTTCCCAGCCCTGTTTTTGTGATGGGTTTTTTCAAGAAAGGGTCTTGAGAAGTGTTTTCCCTGGGCTGGCTTAGAACCTCAATCTTCCTAATCTCTGCCTCCTGAGTAACTAGGATTACAGGTGTGAGCACCTGGCTTCACCATTTTTCTTGTTGATTTGATATGGCCTTATTACCATGTAGTTAGACATACTGTGTTGTGGCTATTGCTTTTCTGCTCAATGCAGCTTTTCAACATTTTTCTAATAATAGAAACTGTTCTCATGGTCACAGAGTAGTATGCACACACACACGCACACACAAAGAAAATATGTTTGCAGAGGAGATGCTGGTGTTAATATTGTCAAGAAAAAATTAAAATAGAAAAAATTATCAGAGGAATGGTTTGATCTTAGGGAGGGAAAGAAAAGACCTCAATGAGAAGGTTACATTGAATGAGGAGCCAAGTGGATATTTGGAGGAAGTGTGTGTATAATACAAGCCTGTGTCACCAAAGATTTTACATTTTCTGTTTCATGAAACACCTTAATCATCATTAATGTACTTAATGTTTTCTTTTGTGTTGTACTGTGCTCTATTAAAAGAAATACTTGTTCCCATATACTAATCTGATTTCACGACCAATGACTGGATCATCCTTCAGTGCGCTAGTATGTGAAACCAGGATGGGAATTGCTGGGTCATAGATTTGTGCCTAGAAATTATTTTCCAATAAACTTCCAATGACCTGGTTTTCGAATTGGGCCTCTTCTGTGTTGAACTTGCTCTCCTTTAATCTGGTGTGCTTCAGCACTTCCCACACAGCCCATATTTGACAGGTGGAACCATAGCCTTTAGGAGGGTTCAGCCTATGGGTATCCCTGGTGCCCTCAGCCACCACCCTGGCTTCATAGGATAATTATCATGGCTTACAGTTGGGGACTGTAGCTGTGACCTTCCTGCACCTCCCTCAATATCTCTTTCTGAGAAAGACTTGATTATCCTACTACCTATATTTCCTCTGATTCTTCATCTGCCACTCAGTACCTCGATACCACACATCCTAGCCTCCTCCCTTTATCTGTGGAATGCCACCTCCCTTCCCAGCCTGATCTCTCAGACCTTACATTCCAGGGCCATGCACATGCTAAGCAAGCACCCTACCTCTAAGTTATATCTCCAGCACTCAGACACCACTTTTTTAAGAACAAAGTCCCCTCAGATACTTCAGGACATTAGAAGTGATGTTTAACATCATTTTTCCATATCTGGAGTCCACACTTTGGGATACATGGTGCTCTCAGGGCTTGCTTTCCTCATCTGCAAAATAGGGAAAAAGATAATTATCTCATCTGTCAGAACGGGCCTTATCCCTAAGCTTGCCTCCAGGAAGTAGTGCAAGCCAAAAATTCTCACTTTGTCCACTTTTCTAAAGAAGTCTAAATCTTCCTTCAGTCAGACAAAGAATTTGGATAAACTTAGTAGCAGTGATTGATGCCCATGACAGGGTGGGACTTTCCTAGCTGGCCCAGGACTGGGGGGTACTTGTGCTGATGCCCATACCACTCAGCCATACTGTGAAAATAAGTACTGTGGAACTTGACAGTGAATGTTCTTTAACCCAACCCACCGCTATTGGTTCACTACCCAGAAGTAACTTTTCTCCATACATTGTAATCCATATATATGTACCTGTGGGAATTAATAATCCGTTGGAGTCTTTATTTAATGAGCATTTGAGTTTCAAAAAATCAGAAGTGTGGTGAAAATACTGAAGTATGTAAAATTATAGATGATGCCATTTCCAAATTATCTTTTGAATCAATTGAATCACTTGAAATAATCAATTGAATCATTTTAATGCTGGCATGGCCAGGGATTTTCTAGCTACATGTATAATTACTACTAAAGAGAGTAGTCCATCATCATCTGTAATTTTCTGTGGGTGAACTCCTATTACTGTTACTTACAGTTGTTAGAGTTCTTTTAGATAATTTGGTGCAGATATTCTGTGTTATTACACTTGAAAACACTTAAATGTTCTTACAAAAATTGTTATTCAAGAGTTTTCTTCCTGGTAATGCTAATGGTAGTGATAAGAAAACTTTTATCTGAACATCAAGATAGAAGAGCAGTCAGATACTATGAAAGGCCACAAAGAACTGTGAAGCACACAATGAGTTTGTTCGTTAGAAGATACAAATTAAGGGACTGAGAGCATGGCTCAACTCATGTTCTTCCATTGTGTTTAAAGGTGTGTTATAGTTTTGTCTGAGGTTTTTGGTTTGGTTTGACTTTTTTTAAATTTTAGTGTTCTTTTAGTACACACACACACACACACACACACACAATGGCAGGATACTATATATTTTGTAAACTCCATTTTTCATTTCACAATATGTGACTTTACCACATTGATTTTTCCATCCTTACCTGAGACCTTTTAATGACTGCTTCTGATTCCATCGTATGGATCAACAGCATGCATCTCACTTGTACACTGTCAATGCTTACTTAGTTTCTCATATTTTTACTATTTGTAAAATATCTTTGACATATATATTTCCATACTTAGCAGTTTTCTTTCTGAAATTTATTTCTAAGATGTCTGGATCAAAAGGTAAATTCATTTTCATTTCTGATTCAGTTGACTGCAGAAAGTC